ACCAGCTCTCAGGAAAGTTTATCGTAATAAGAGGTCCCCCCAGTCCCTAAGTGGCAAATATCATCTCAAACTTCATTGCTTAGTTAGTGCTAAAAAAGACTCATCCAAGTAGCTCTTGCCCAGTGTCACAGATTAGCAGGTTTGTGACTGGACACTCTGTTGAAGACTGGGGATGCCATGTCACAAATATTATTCTTAATTCTTAATTGATGGCCATGAAAATCTTTTTTTTTTTYCTTAGTCTGTCTCTGGGAGTKAATTTTTTCATATCATGAGGGCTTCAACTTCAGGAGCACCAATTACCTCCAGAGTAAAGATTTATTATAAGCCTAGAAAGTTATCTCCAGGTCTTTGCATGAAAAGGTTTACTGGTTTGTATTGTTCCTTGAATAAATAAATGGGTCATATTTGGAAAAAAAATATTGGAGGCTGGGGATATAGCTCAGTTGGTAAAGTGCTTGCCTCACACGTACAAGGCCCTGGGTTCAATCCCCAGCACCACACACACACAMAAAAAAAATTGAAATTCTCATGCTAAGCAACTGGCTTACTGGTACCATGAGAAGATCAAATCAACAGAAGACACAAAATAATGCAAAGGCGAGCCCTACAGATTCCCTTAACAAGATTTAAAAAAACAAAACAAACAAAAAACCCCACAGAAATCAAAGTTAGAACAAAAGTTGAAATCCAAATCCACCATAAATCCCTCTTCACCATTCTCTTATCTTTACCCTTGACTCCCTATCCCTGGATGGCCACAAAATTTTTTGGCTTACTCTCCTCCTCAAAACCTGGTGCCATCATTTCAGATGGGAGAATTTCCATTTGAATGGAATGAGCTGAGCTCCAATTTCCTCAGCTCCACCAAGAAAGCTGCTTAAATCACCAGCTGCCTGTTTTAAACTTCCAAACTGTTTTCCTAAAGGATTAGAGTGCTTGCCCAGTGGCATCATCCCCAGGCCTAAGACGTCTCAGTTAAATTGGCAGAAGCAACTAAAGGTTGAGCAGCAAGGCACACTGTGCTGTCCCTTAAAATTCCTGCTTCCAGGGCTCTTTAAGTCTCTTCTGCTTTTTAATAAATCCACAACACCTTGCTACTCATTGGTAGACACCTGTGAACAGACTCTGTGAACCCCTTCCTATACCCATTCCAGCCTTTAGTCACTTGAACTTTAAGAGACTCAGGGATTCCCCCCAAATTTCCTTTTCTTTTTCTTTCTTTCTTTTTTTTTTTTTTTTTTTTAGGGCCAGGGATTGAACCCAGGACCTTGTGCATGCTAGGCAAGCACTCTACCAACTGAGCTATATCCCCAGCCCTTCTTCTTCTGTATCTTTGAGATAGAAAATTTCTGCTCTGTTTTATCTTAGAATCATCCCTTATGACAAGCAGACTTTAGGGGGATGTGAAGACAGTTGGGGCCGGGGCAGGACAAAGATATTTATGAGAAGTAGTTTGAATTGTGACTCTTGGACTTAGTATACCCATTTGATCTTTACCCTTCCATGGAAAGATAACGTTTTATCTTATTATTTTTTTTTTTTTGTCAAAACGTGGCTTACAAAAATGGGGATTGGTTTTATCTATCCTCAGCTAGTGTCCTATGGCCTGTTGCCAACTCTCAGGGGACTGTCTTTGGGAGTGGCTCTGATTCTTGGAAGGGCTGTATTTTTGTGCCCTCTTTGAGATAACTTACAAATCTGTGATTAAGCCATAAAAAACTTATCAGTCTTAAGTAATAAAAGTCTCATTGAGTCTTTATTGGTCCCTTGATTGAAAAAGAGAGAAAGAGGTAGAGTGGAATGGGGAAAAGATGATTTAGAAATTGGTCAAATGCAAAATTTTAAATATTTTCCACAAATAGTTAAAAGCTTTAGTTATCTGGGTAGGTAATCTTAACTTGTTCCATTTGCCAGGTACAAAGTTTTTCTTGTGTGTTGCCAAAATTAATTGTAAAAGAACTCTATTTAAATTGCTTAAATATAAGCACATATATAAATTAAATATTCTCTTAGAAATACAAACAATCTCCCAATGCTTTTTTTTKKGGGGGGTGGGGGGTACCGGAAATTGATCCCAGGGGTGCTAAACCACTGAACCACATCCCTGCTCTTTTTTATATCTTATTTAGAGACAGAGTCTCGCCAAGTTGCTTAGGACCTCACTAAATTACTGAGGCTGCTTTGAACTTGCAATCCTCCTGCCTTAGCCTCTGGAGCCACTGGTATCACAGGCATGCACCTCCAAGCCTGGCTTTTGTTTCTTTTTCAGACATGGACGCAACATGTTGCTAAGTCTGGTCAGTCTCTAACTCCTGGGCTCAAGTGATCCTTCCACCTCATCCTCCCAAGTAGCTAGAGTTATAAGTGTACATCACCGTCACAGAGGCTGGCTCGATGCTCTTTTTAAATTCACCTGCCTTGGATAATCTATGGCAAACAAGTATTGTTGGTTTTGTAAAAATGGATATGCCTCCAGAGTTGTCAGCATTAATACAATGCAGACACACAACTTTTATTCTACTAGGTTTACTAGTCAAATAACTTCTTGTCTTTTTTTGGTGCTGAGGATTAAGCTAGGCAAATACCCTACAGCAAAGCTGCACCTCTAGCTCCCAATTTTTTTTATCTTAACTAAATATTTACAATCATAAAGCTGAGTTAAAACTAAGAAACAAGCCAGACGTAATGGTGCATGCTCATAAACCTAGCTGCTTGGGAGGCTAAGGTAGGAGGAATCCAAGTTTATGGCCAGTCTCAGCAACTTAGACTGTGCCTCAGAATAAAAAAATAAAAAGGGCTGGGTGGATAGAGTGTCCCTTGGTTCAATCTCCAGTATGTGTGGAGTAAGGAAATGACAAGTTTTCCTGGAAGCAGTGGTGTGCTCTTTCACTTTTTTCTTTATTTTTATTATTGTTAATTGTACTTGCTTATGAGGTACAGTGTGATAATTACCCACATATGTACAATGTGTGCAGATTCAATCAGGATAGTTAATGTTTCCATCTCCTTATCATTATTTTGTCTTTGGAGCCCTGACTGTTTGGTTCTTGATAAAAGATTGTGAAGGTATCTCTTAAATAGTCTGCCTAAGGGGGGAAAAATCTGTTTTATCAAGATAATTTCCTGTGCTTCCTATGGTCTTCATTAGTTTTATTTTGTTATGGTACTGGGAATTGAACTCAGGGCACTCAACCACTGAGCCACATCCCCAGTGCTATTTTGTATTTTATTTAGAGACAGGGTCTCACTGAGCTGCTTAGCTTTTTTGCTGAGGCTGGCTTTGAACTCCCTATCCTCCTGTGTCAGTCTCCCAAGCCACTGGGATTACAGGCTTGTACCACTGCACCTGGCTCATTAGGTTTTTTTTTTTTAATTAATAAGTTTGAAAGACTGGAGGGGTAGCTTGGTGGTGGATTTGTTGCCTACCATATTTGGGGCCCTGGGTTCTATCCCCAGCACCACATAAAAATCAAAACCCCAAAAAACTGAGTGTTTTCAGTTTTAAAAGTTTTTACATGATCATGTAACTTTCTGTATTTGTCTTTCACTCTGTTATTGCTTCACAATGATCTGTGACTTCATTTAATCGAAAGTTCTAAAAAAAATTTTTTTTGGTACTAGGGATTAAGCCCAGGGCAGCTTAACCACTAAACCACATCCTCAGCCCTTTTTATGGTTTATTTTGTTTTGATATAGCGTCTCACTGAATTGCTTGGGGCTGTTAAGTGGCTGAGACTGGCTTTGAACACGCAATCTTCCTGCCTTAGCCTCTAGAGCTGTTGGGATTACAGGCCTGTGCCACCTTGCGCTCCAAACCTTTTGATAGTGTCCAAAATCAAATTCTAAATTGTCTTTATTTTTAACCTCAAACTAACTTTAAGATTTTCCAGAGCTAGGGATGTGGCTCAAGCGGTAGCGCGCTCGCCTGGCATGCGTGCGGCCCGGGTTCGATCCTCAGCACCACATACAAACAAAGATGTTGTGTCCGCCGAAAACTAAAAAAAATTAAATATTAAAAATTCTCTCTCTCTCTCTCTCTCTCTCCCCTCTCTCACTCTCTTAAAAAGAAGACTCTGCCTATGAATGTGCACTTTCTTGCTTCTCACCCCTGCTTCTTCCACATAGAAGTAGACAGTCCTTTCTGACCTTGTAAGTTTTCTTTCTTCAAGGTCTTGGATGGTGATGGAGATGACAATGATGCTAACAGCAGCTGCTGGTGGGGTGCTGATACGTGATCATAGTCTCAAGACTTGAAGTTTTTATAATACGTCAAGGCCATTATCTCATCTGAATCCAGAAAGGCAGGAATTATAACAATTTTCAAAATAGGAGAATGAAGTATTTAAAAACAAAAACAAACAAAAAGCCTGTCTATAAACCCAATGAGATACACCTGGCTACCTTATGGATTCTCCTTTAATAACAAGGACGGAAAAGTAGGTGGAGAAAAGGGACCTGAATTAGGTCCCTCCTCCATCTTTGAGTACAAATGTCACCCGACTGTATCCAAGTGTGCCCAGCTATGAAATGGACTGTCTTCACTCCTCTGCCCCCAGGAGAGGGCCTGCTCCCACCAGGTCCTGGTTTCCCTGTCTTGTCCACTGGAACAGATCTGGTGTTAATAAATGTGTTTCCGGGGGGCTGTTTTATTGTATCTGAGGTTTGGGCATGTGGGTGTCCTACATTGTCCTGTTCAGTTCCTCCTCTCAGTTCCTCCCAGCCATTGAGGTAGGGGACTGGAGCCCAGAAGAGTCAGTGTGCTTAAGGCCACACAATTAGCAAGTGCTGTTTGAATTCCAACTCTGAGGCTTGTACCCAGCAAGGGGAATTCCTGCACATGCTCCCTCCTTCCTTTTCCTTCCAAACTGGAAAAGGGGATCATCCCAGCTGCCTGCTCCCCTCCATGTACCAGCTGCCAGAACACAGCTGTCTCTCCATTGTTTCCCCCACCTAGGCAAGCTGAGCTGGGTGGCTGGGGCTGAGCTGGGTGGGGTTACCCGGTGTTGCATCCAGCTAGGCTGTCTCCACTGCAGGGAGATCCAGCCAGAGACTGATTCTGAGCAGCAGTCCTGACTGGTGAGAGCTGAACTGATCGGTGGGTGTAGGGGGCCAGGGTGTTAAGGATTGCAGGTCTGGGTGGATCAAGAACTCCCCAAAAGAAAAATTAGAATTGCCTGGGGAAGAACTGCTGGATTGAGGAAGAAAGGTTGGGAAATATCAGGGGGATGGAAGGGGTCCCAGGAACAGTAGAGCCCCTGGAGACAGGGAAGGGCTGGCTGTGAGTTCTAGCTCCAGTTTTTCTCTCCCCATCTGTGCTGTGGTGAAACCCCCTCTACCAGCTACCTTGCTAAGAGAAAGGGAAAAGCAACCCACAACTGGGAAGCAGGAAGATGTAAACTGAAGAGAGGGGGCACTCCTGTTCACCCATGCTTTTGGCAGGTGAGGTGGGAACAGGAAGCACAAGGTTAGAGCCTCCGTTGCCTTCGCAGCGCCCAGTCGCCATGCCTGCCCCGCTGCTCCCACTGCTGCTGCGAGGGCTGCTGTCGCGTCTGCTGCTTCCTGCTGCCCGCCTGGCCCGCCAGCACCTCCTGCCCTTGCTGCGTCGGTTGGCCCGTCGCCTGAGCTCCCAGGATGTTCGAGAGGCTCTTCTAGGCTGTTTGTTGTTCATCCTCAGCCAGCGACACCCGCCAGATGCTGGGGAGACCTCCAGAGTGGACCGCCCGGAGAGAAGGGAGAGGTTAGGCCCCCAGAAGTGAGGCCACACGTTCTGGCAGCAGCCATAGCCATCGCAACGCTTTCTCCTGGAATAGGAGTAGTTCTGGCAACAGCACTAAAGCAGCCTGCACTGGGCAGTCCAGTGGGGATCTGACCTGAAGGCCTCCCTGTCCCAGCAGACATGTCTCACAGACAATTGATCACTGCCCCTTCCTCCTCCTGCAATTCTTCTCAAAGACCTCTGCTAACAAACTCTGACCTCAGGGGAGAGGAGACCTCACCTCCTGGTGAATGGGGACAATTTATCTAAGAGGTGATATTTGAATCCAGATTGTTGGTCTTCCAGACTTGGGACCTACCTACCTTAAAATATGATTTTGGTTGCCTTTGGAGGCAGCACTGTTCCTAAAGCCCACCACAAAGCAAGTGCTTAATAAATATTTGTTGAATTCTTGGGATGCTTGTTTGAAAGTTTTGTCACCTACACCTCAGTGGGTGGCAGGTGGGGAGGGGGCTGGAGGAGAGGATCACTGGGAGGCTTCCTTTGGCTGTTTGTTTCCTTGTCCACCTCAGTCTTCAAAACCTTGAAGTTGTTTATAGTGTCTAACTTTGCCCAGAAGGTCACACTTCCCCTAGTTATGGTCTGGGTCTATTTTAGGGGAAGGTTGGCTGCTAGCTCACAGAGGGAGGAAAAACCGTTTGAGTCAGTTTGGAGTCATCTCAGCTAAAGATGGTGAGAAGCGGGAGACTTGTTTGCTAAGCGACCCTGCGGGTAGCCACTGGAAGGCGGGGCAGTGTAAAAATGTAGGACTTCAAGGACCTAGAAAAAATGGGGAGGGGGAAGCCTGAAAAAAAATCAACTCCTTATTCTCCCTTCCCCCAAAGGAGGCAACTGGKGATGTGTGTGTAAGAGTTGTCAGGCACATTTGCATCCCAGCCTCCGGATGATTTGTTTATGGTTTCCATGCAATAATCCCATTTCCCTGAGTCTTGGGCTCTGGTTGAGAGGGGGGATAGTGAGGAATACAGGTTTCTCTCGGGATCCCCATTCAATCCCTTGTCCAGAGAAGCGACACCAAGGCTGTGCACCCTCACTCCAGTAGGACTCTCCCCGCCCCAGTCGCTTCCCGACGAGGTCATCCACTTGTTCTCGCCACTCGAGAGGACGACCTGGGGGAGGGGCGGAGTAAAGGGGGTCTGAGTCCCGGGTTCCCTAACCCTGTCCCTTCGGAACGCTGGCGGCTCTGCCTGGGCCCCTCCCACTGAGCCTCCCTCCCCGCCGGCGTCCCGAAACGCTCTGCGCCCTCGAGCGGCGAACGGCGCCAGGCGGGACTGAGAGCCTGCCGCGGATCGCTGGGCGGGCGCCGCAATCGCCAGTTGCAAACCTCCCGCCCGGCGGCAAAGACCCGGTCCACCCCGGCGCGGGCAGCGCTCTGGGGCCATGGCCATAGCCTCAGGCCGGAGGTAAGGAGGCCCGGAGGGATCCCGGATCCGCCGGCCTGGGAATTTCCGTCCTCTGTGCCAAGTCCGGATGCCCCCGCCAAAGTCTCAGCAGGTGCGCAGGGAAMGGCGGCGGGGGCGGCGGGGGAGCGCGAGGCGCGCGCCGGGCAGGGGCGGGCTCTGCGCCGTTCTCACGCTGCTCCTGCAGTCTGATCCTCTATGGATTCTAATCTGCCGTTTCTGGAAGGGAGGGTAGTTTTCTGGGAGTTTGAAGGTGACTCCCCCTCTTCCTTGATCTCAGCGATTTACAATTGCCCGAGGTCAGAGATCTGCCTAGAGCAGAAGTCGGGGGCCTGAGCAGACCCAGTGAACAAAGACTTAATTCTTCTTGAACCCCGACCTAAAACCCACCCTTTGTACACACTTGTCTTTATTTAAAAATTCGACGTTGTATTAATCATTGATTCTTTTTATTAAATTTGGGTTTTTAAAAATTTTTTAGTTGTAGTTGGACACAATACCTTTATTTTAGTTATTTTTGTGTGGTGCTGAGGATGGAACCCAGGGCCTCCACATGCTAGGTGAGCGCTCTACCGCTGAGCCACAACCCCAGCTCTAAATTTGGTTTTTGAACATTGCACTAGGGCTGAAGTGTAGCTCAGTGGTGTCGCTAGTATGTTCAGGGTCATGTTCATGAACCCCAGCACATAGTTGATCTTGTCTTTTCTTTGCCTTTCTTTTCTTTCTCTTGCTTCCTCTCCTTTCTTCTTTTTTTCCTAGTACTGGGAATTGAACCAGGAGCGCTCTATCACTGAGCTACATCCCCAGCCCTTTTTATTTTTTTAATTTTGAGACAGGGCTTCTCTAAGTTGCCTGGACTGTACTGGAACTTGCCTTCCTCCTGCCTCAGTCTCCCTAGTAGCTGGGATTACAGGCCTGCATCATTGCACCCAGCTGATACCCAACACTTTCAAACAAACCAAAATTCCACATTGCATTACAATTTATCATGATGATGATGATGATGATGATTTTGGCATCCCTTAAATTTGGTGTCTTAGGTAGCACCTCACTGTCCTCACTCTAGAACCAGCCCTGCCACAAAGGCCATGAAGACAATCACAAACACAACTGAGAACATGACACATGTTCTAGTGATAACCCCCCCCCCCCCCCCCCCCCCCCCCCCCCCCCCCCCGGCTCGGCAAACACATTTCCAGCAAACACAGATGGCTTGTTGATGACAGCTGAGAGGACACAGGCCTGGAGAGAGAGGGCTGTGTGCTGGTGGTGAGGCATGCTTACAAGTAACCCAGGGGAGGGAGGAGTCTGGAGCATGCCACAGTCCCCAGTGGAATAGGGAATAAGGTGGGGTATGGGGGTCTGAAGGACCAAAGTTCCCCTCCATTCCCTGTGACTGAGATCTGATTCCATGAAGGGAGAGAACCACAAGACTGGGCAGAGGACTGACTAATTTAGCTAGAAAATCTCCAGGCACAGACCTGTGTTAGTGGGCCTCCGAAGGCTGTCCAGCAGAGGGCGTGGACACCCAGCCACCTTCTCTGTCTGGGAAGGCCACCGTGATCGGTATGGGTCTGGCCCTGGCCCAGGCAGGGTATGTGCCAGATAGACTTCTCTCCAACAATAATAGGCCTGGCTGTTGCCATCCCTTGAGCAGGCCAGGCCCCATGGGGATGGGAAGAGGAACCAACCTTCCCTAGTCTGGTTTCCTGGGGACCCTCACCACTTCCTCCTGTTTCCTTATACTTCCAGCCCCCTTTGCACACAACTGCAGCCACTAACCCCCGAGCCTGGCTGTGCCTGGCGGATACTGACCACCAGTCCTGCCACCCCCACAGGGCCAGAGCCAGAAAGGAAGGTGGGAGTGAGGCAGGGGGCCAAGGAGAAGGGGAGGCAATAGCAAGGTGAGGAAGAGAGAGAGACCGGACAAACATGAGGGTAGGAACCCAAGGTTGTGGACAGACATGAGCCACTCAAAAGCCAAGGGACAGTGCCTAGAAAAATACCACCCACCCCATCTTCCTGCCCTCTGTTTGCTTCCTGCTGTGGGGAAGATGTGTATCATCTCCACCAGAGCTGTAAGGCTGGGGACACCTCTACCCACTGCCCTATATAAAACCCCTCCCTCCTCAGGGCCCAGGCTTTCTTGGGGAGAGGGATGATTTTGCAGTGCCCCTATGATTTTAGTACCACTAATTGTTTGATGTTATTTTTTGGTACCAGGGATTGAACCCAGGGGCGCTCAACCACTGAGCCCTTTTTTGTATTTCATTTAGAGACAGGGTCTCAATAAGTTGATTATAACCTTGCTAAGCTGATTAGAACCTCCATAAGCTGCCAAACCTGGCTTCAAACTCACTATTCTCCTGCCTCAACCTCCTGAGCCCCTGGGCACCCAGGCACTAATTGTTAATTAGTGTGTATGACTTCTCCAGGGGATAGGCCTCTGGGGTAACTGAGGGTGGGGTAAGCAGCCTAGGTTGAATTTTCTCTCCCCAGGACACTTCCAACCTTTGGATAGTCCTAAAGCACTGAGCACTGAGGTAGGGGCAGAGAATGACCCCCTGATTTACTTTCCAACAAGAACAAAAAGGAATCCCTGCTCCTCCCTTGGAGGTACATGGTGGACCCCTCCTCAACACGGACCCCGTCAGCCAGGGAAGGATATGGAGCTCAGCAAGGATTCCACCTCTGACCTATATCGTCTCTGGGACAATGGGATTTGTGCAGGATGTTGGGCTCTTCCTGGCTTTCTCTTCCATTCCCAGCAGTGCCTCAGTTTTCCAAAGTGCTCGATTTAGAAACGGTAGATCATGAGGGGGCCCGAGGACTCTGCTTCTCTTCCCTACACAGAGACAAGAGACAGAGACAGAGACACTCATCCCTTCAAGTCAGAGCTGTGGGTGGCATGATGTTTATGGACCTATGGCCATGTGTATGTGTCATGGGTAGAAAAACCCACCACCCAGGTCACAAATGATTGAGTCTTAAGGATCCCACAAGGGAGAGGGTGAAAGGGACAGAAGTCTTATTGAAATGAAAGAAGGGATCTAAACTGGAAAAGGTGGGACTCTGGAAAGAAAAGAGGCTCTGTGTAGTGTAGAGGCGTGGGCGGGGTTTGGGCGGGATAACGGAACACCTCAGCTGAGCCTGGCGGATCCTGGCGGTGGGGGCGTCCGGGCCTGTGAAAAGTCCCTGGGATGGAACGAATGGGACTTTGCACAGCCTCGGCGCTGAAGGGACTAGGGGCGCCTAGTGTGGAGCTGTGCCCTCCAGGCCCACACGCCTAATAACGGGCTGGGTTAGTGTGGCCCTAAGAAATAATGCGACCAGATGGCCCTGGGACGCAGGGTGTCCTAGTGCAGGTCCCGGCGCGGGCAGATCTGCTAAGCGGGAGACCCTGGGGGCGGGGGGCGGGGCGAGGCCGGCGGGGTAGCGGGAGGTGGTGGCTGGCGCGGGCCGGGGGCGGGCTCAGCGGAGGGCGGGTTTGAAAGCTCTCCTGCGGGCGCGGGAAGCTGCAGAGAAAGCGCGCAGGTCTCCGCGCGGAGGAGTTCTTCTCCGGCAGGTGCGCGAGGGCCTTGGGTGGGCGCGTGCCGGGGAAGGCCGGGCGTGGGGTGGCGGGTCCAGCTTGCCACGAGGGAGGGAGGCCAGGCCAAACAGCTCCGCGGCCTGGCGACCGTCGCCGGTCCCCCGCTTCCCTGGCCTGACTCGTGCAGAGCGCGCAGCACGTGGCACACCCAGGCTCTGGGCKCTGGGGATTTCTGTGGGGACCACCACCGGAGTGGGGCATGGGTGGCCTGGCTCCCAGGCCTAAAAGCTGCTGTTGCCTCTCGGACCTCCACAAGACGCAGGCGAGGGGACAGTTAATCCTGGTCGATTGTCTTCAAGACATGGGAGGGGCCAGGACACCGTGTTTGCAGTGAGGGGGATGGGGGCGAGGCAGATGGAGGTAGGGGAGCTGTCCCTTTAAGTATCCCTTTTATTGGCCAAATTCTTGTCCCTGGCGCGTCCTCATTTACTTACAGAGTAAATGAGAGACAAGGATAGCAAACGCCGGGCTTTATCCTCAGGGGGAGAGCAGCAATGGGCCCTCACCATCCTAGGGATCTCTCCCCAACCCTGTACCGACCCTTGGCTCACTCATCTCAGTAACCTCCAGACCCTCGGACTTGTCCTCCTGTCTGTGAGTTCTTCATGCCTGAATGTATATGTGTGATGGGATGGAGATGAGGTACCCCACCTCTTACAATCATGTCAGGCTGTGAATGATCTGGGCCCCCACTTTATTCTTCTATGTATTTATTTATATTTATGGGGGTTGACTGGGGATTGAACCCAGGGGTGTTCTACCATTGATCTTCATCCTCAGCCATTTTTTTTTTTTTAACAGAGTCGCGATAAATTGCCAATGCTGGCCTCAAACTTGCTAACCTCCTGTCCCAGCCTCTCCAATAGATGGAATTATAGGCCTATTTTTTCCCTTTAATTGGAGCAGAGCCCCCCTCCCCTCCCCAGTCTACAGGGACATCTGGGAATCAGTCTTTATACCTCCCTGCCCAGCCAGAAAGGAACCTAGAATGAAATGAGCATTGAGTTTGAATCCTGGCTCCCCATTCACCTACTCAGTGAACTTGGGCAAGTGACCCAACATCTCTGAATCCTGCCTGGCCCATCTGCTCATCGGAAACAATCTAGAACTAGCTTCTGGATAGTTGAGAGAAAGAGGGGATCTACAGTAGTGACTGGCCTATAGGGCACCCTGGGGAATGGAGATTTGATGTAGCACAAAGGTATGCCTGAAAGTTGGGTTAAGAGAGAGGTGTTASGAACCTAGGGGCAGGGAGGGGCTCCGTTTTGTGGCTGCTTTCAAGACTTGACAGGCCAAGGCATGGCCCTGAGACACCAGATGGTCTGAGCTGGTATCAGATCCCTGGTTGCTGCTGGGCAAAACCTGACAAGAACAGAACACCTAAGCTGGCCAGTGGAATGTGAAGATGTGGGCAGGGGTGGAGGGGTGCCCAGTGGAATTGCAGGGCACCCAGGACTGGGGTGGGGACTGTGTAGAACAGGGGCCGGGCTGGGAAAGAGGACAAAAATAGACATTTCTCCAAGCCTAATGCACTTTGCTAAGGGGAGGGGGCTATTCTGCCAGGAGTCCTTCCTGTGGGGGGTGGGGTGGGACACGGGCTCTGTGGAGGTGAGAGATGGTGGGGGTCTCTCCCTGATACAGATGAAAAACCTGAGTCCTTCCTCTACTCCAGCAGAGCCCTCTTGTCCTTATCCCTCTAGAAGACATCAATACTGTTGTTTGCCACTCTGTCCCCAGTGCCTAGCAACAATGCCTGGTTGCATACTGAGGTCCTTAGTAAATATTTGTTGAAAGAGGATTGGAAGAAGAAGCCCTCCACCTCCATTTGGAGGTATGCCCCCACCCCTACKACCCAGCTTTAGACTGAGGGATGAGGAAGATCTGTGGAGTCTAGAGTTTACCCAGGAAGGGGTGAAAAAGCCCATTGAGGATCTCAGAGTCCCCTGCTGTCACTGCTGTGACCTTCAGGTGCAGGGGGCTCCCCTTGCAATCTTATCTCCCCTGCAGCTCTGGGCCTTTTATCTCCTGGGTTTGCTTTGTGCTCAYGAGGCTTCTCAGAAAGAGGCCCATGAGGCCAGGGGGGTCCTCTCCTGCTTTGCCCCATACCACCTTTTTCACTCTAGGCCCTCCTTCAGGACCATGTGGACAAGGTGTGCTGCCCAGCCTGCTTTAGGACCCCCTCCTAGGGGCTGCCCAGGCCCCTTCTGTTCTCCCCCTTCTGTTAGTGAGTCTAGGCAAGTGCCTGGACAGGGAGCAGAAGGCCGGCCTCCAGACAGCAGCAGACCTGGTTCCAGAGCTAGGCTCACCTGGAAGGTGGGCCAGTGCATGCTAGCGTGGCCTCCCAGGCCATCTAATGGAAAGCTGTTTAACCTTCTGGTGCCAGGGAGCCTCCCCCTACACAAGTGAGGCACAGAGAGGCCGGTGGCCGGGAGCTTTGGGACTCAGCAGTTTGGGTCTGTGTCTGAGCCCCTACCCCTCCAATCTTCCCTTTAAGGCCAATCTCAGAAAGGAGAAGAAAACAGCGGCCTAGAGTGGAACTCACAGGGGGATGGGATGACCTTTGGGCCAGTACTGGGGGTCAGAGTGGCTGGTCTGGGTTGTGAGAAGGGTCACATCCCCAYACCCTTTGTGAAATATTTCCCTGGAAATCTGGCTGGGAATTAGGAAGCCTCTGGGCAGTGGTTGAAAAGAAAGGTTTAAGATGCCCCTAGGAGAGAGGCCAGCCTGGGGTGCTTTCAGTAGGGGACAGGCTCCACAAAGCCTAYTCTGTCCTTGAATCCAGGGGCTCCTGGGTAAATTGACAGATCAGACTTGCGGAGGGGGCCTGGGGCCTCTGCAGATTTGTTTGTTTTTTTTTTCTGTGCCTTGCTCCCCCTGCCTCTGGCTGTCCCCTCCACTTTGTTTCTGTCCTCCAGCTCACCTTCCATTGTCAGCGCGGCCTCTGACCCTTCTCATCTCTTCTCTGTCTTTGACTGTCTTTCCCTCTCTCTCAATCATGCTTCCTCCTCCTTCTTTCCTGCTCTCCACCCTCCTGTTTCCCAGCTTATAAACTGCTTCGGCTGCTGGATAAAAATAGCGGTGGCAGCGGCCAGGCCGGGAGCCAGGTGGAGGCTGAGCAGCCATAGGGGCCCCATCAGACTGGCCTGCTGGGCCAGAGGGTCTATCCGAGTGGTCCTGAGGGGCAGGACCCAGAGGGGATCCTGTGGGACTCTCTACTTGCCTGCTCTGTCTGCCTCGTCCCCTCCTCCCCACAAGACTCTGAGGAGGGCTTGGTGGAAGCAGGGCCTCCCATTGCTTCTGCCCCCAGCAAGCGGCAGAGGGAGGGAGCCGTCAGCCAGGCGCAACTGAGAACAACAGCACCATGACCACCACCAGTCACCAGCCTCAAGACAGGTAGGTACTGGGGGCAGGGGAGGGGACCTGGGCTAGGGCTCAAGGGAATGGGTCTCCAGGGTGGTGGGGGCAGTGTTCCTTGGAATTTGGAATTGCCACCACAGGATGGCCTTCCGGCCAGGTAGCTCTGAGTCAGGTCTGCTTTGGGCTGGGAACCACGCATGTCTTGGCTGGGTGCTGGCAGGGGAGTCTGCAGGGGGGCACAAGGTGGCAGCAGCCTGTCTGGCCTGTCAGTGTTTCCAGTATTGCTCTCCAGCTAGTCYCACAGCTTCTGTCCCCTTGCGCCACCACTGGGGAGATACTTGGCAATACCCCTCATTCCAGAGCACATCTGGCAAAACCTCCCTGTCCCTCAGGACTACCCTAGGGCCTGTGCCTCAGATTACCCCACCCCACCCTGGTCCTAGATATGACCTTCCCACTTCTGGAGCCTGTGAACTCCCTCAAGTTAGAGCTGCCGTAGCAATGAGGAAGAGTTTTGGAGGGAGAGGCTGTATGGGTTTGAGCTCTACAATGGTTTGGGACATGACAGTGTTGATGAAGCCCTGCCACACTTTGGCCAGGCTTCAGGCTGTCCTTCACTCTGCCTCKGGCCACCACACCCCCCTCACATTTCCCCTGCCTACCTTCTTTTCTTTCTGYGCCAGAGTTTATGGAACCAGGCCACTTTGTGGGGTCTTTGAACTTGGTCTCTTGGAGACCGTTTCCCCACCTGTGAAACAGATAAGAATATCCACTTCACAGGGCTGTATGGAGGGGAGAGAATTGAAGTACAGGCCCAGGTGCTTCCTCTCCTTCCCAGGCAGCACGGTGCCCCAGCCTGGCCCCCTCTTCTGCGGTGATTCCCGGAAGCCCTCTCCCCTCTTCACCACCTGTCTTCCCACCCCACCTCTGACCCTCTGTCCTGTATGACCTTGCCTGGGAGTTTTGCCCTTCATTATGGGCCTCCAAATCAACCCTTTAGCATGTTTACTTCAAGGGGGATATGCAGGCTTTGGGGACTGCATTTGTCATAGCTCAGATCTATCTATATGGGACACTCACCAAGACCCTCTCCATATGAGGTGTGTGATGTTCCCCTACCCCGTGGCCAGGCCTCCTCCTCAGTGCCTTGGGTCAACTCTGAAGAATGTGAGTCTTGGCTGCTGGGAGGGTATGACACACATATCTGGAGATAGCCATGGGCCTTAGTGACCCTGGTGCACCAGGTTGCTAAGCTTGTAGGTAAGGCCTACATAATTAAATACTGGCCTGGCTGGAGCCGGGTGGCCTTTATTTATACCGGGCCCAGATGACTGTCCAGATGACGTCCAGTGGCTGCAGACCTCTTGGCCTGCCTTTGGTAGTATGACCTATAAAACCAGTTCTGTCTGGACCAGGGGGAAAAAAAAAACAGCAGTAGCTCTCTCCTTCCCTGCCTCCCAGGCACCCCACCCTCCTGTTCTGCTAGATCCAGAATGGTCTGGGAGCTTCTTGACCTCAGAATCTTCTTTGGGGAACCATACAGTTCCTGCCCAGATGCACACTCACTTCCAGACAGCCAGCCTGGTGGGAGCAGAAGACTCCTCGCTGTTTGTTTTCTCACTCACCCGCCCACCCCAGCCCTTCAGCAGGATTTTCAAAACCATCTCCGGATATGTGGGTCACACTGGTTCCCAGCCTGCAGGATCCCCTGAGTGTTTGAAGGCTGAGAACCAAGGTCCTATCAGCCATGCCATTCAGTCCTGGGTCCCTGGACTCCACATATTCCCTGGGAGAACTGAAGAGATTGAGGGCAGGGAGGAAGGGGTCTCAGGTTGACCTGGAAGGGTGGGTAGGATGGTGGGTCACTTGGCTTCTCTTTCCTCCCATCCCAGATACAAAGCTGTCTGGCTTATCTTCTTCATGCTGGGCTTGGGGACACTGCTCCCCTGGAATTTTTTCATGACAGCCACTAAGGTGAGACGGGGCGGGGGGGGGACTGGGTTCCATGGGGGCATGTCCTCTGGGCTTCCAGGGCCTGGGTATGTGCATTTGGGCATAGGAAGGGACAGAGGTTTCAACATTTTATCTGCAACCCTTGCAGTATTTCACAAACCGCCTGGACATGTCTCAGAATGTGTCCTTGAATGCTGCTGTATTGAGCAAGGAGATACAGGACCCAGCTGTCCCCACAGCACCCTTACCAGAACAGAGGTCTCTCAGTGCCATCTTCAACAATGTCATGACCTTGTGTGCCATGCTGCCACTGCTGCTCTTCTCCTGCCTTAACTCCTTCTTGCATCAGAGGTGAGTACCTTCCTCTGCCCCAGCGCTGCCATTACTGTCTCCTGCTCACCCCTCATTGCTACCTGGGGCCTCTCCCGCAGGATCCCCCAGTCTGTACGGATCCCAGGCAGCCTAGTGGCCATCCTGCTGGTATTCCTGGTCACTGCCATCCTGGTGAAGGTGCAGCTGGATGCTCTGCCCTTCTTCGTCTTCACCATGATCAAGATCATACTCATTAATTGTAAGCTTGGGCCGGGAGCGGACGAATGTCATGAGCAGTTGGGGTTCAAAGGCTTGAACCTGCCTGGGCTGGGCTGGGTGTGAGRCAGAGAAAAGCTCAGCATGAAACCTCACTGGGAGGGGCTGGGGTTGTGGCTCAGCAGTAGAGGCTCACCTAGCACGTGTGGGGCGCTGGGTTCGATCCWCAGCACCACATAAAAATTTAAAAAAATAAAGGTATTATGTTCAAATGTATTTTGTTCAACTAAAAAAAAAAAAAAAACTACAAAAAAATGCCTCACTGGTAGCAAGCAGGAATCACAGGGCCTTATTTTCCTTTGGACCCTTGACTGCCAGCCCCACCATCCCTTGCTGATACTCATCCTGTTCCCCAGCATTTGGCGCCATCCTGCAGGGCAGCCTGTTTGGTCTGGCTGGCCTCCTGCCCGCCAGCTACACAGCCCCCATCATGAGTGGCCAGGGCCTGGCAGGCCTCTTCGCCTCAGTGGCCATGATCTGCGCCATTGCCAGTGAGTCCTAACGTTCACTTGCCTACTGCCCTGGGGGGGTGTGGGGGAGAAGGGATGGGGCCTCTCTCTGATCACAGACCTTGTCTATCCCAGGTGGCTCAGAGCTGTCAGAAAGTGCCTTTGGCTATTTTATCACAGCCTGTGTGGTTGTCATTTTGGCTATCATCTGTTACCTGGGTCTGCCCAGGCTGGTGAGCAAGTGGAGGGATCTGGGGTTTGGTGGGTGGGGAGGTTCAGGGTCTAGACCAAGAGTCTGGAACTGAAACTGGGGGAGGCAGGAGTTCCAGCAATGCCTCTGACTCTGCCTCCCTGTCTCCCTTGCTCGATAGGAGTTCTACCGCTACTACCAGCAGCTCAAGCTTGAGGGGCCTGGGGAGCAGGAAACCAAGTTGGACCTCATCAGTAAAGGTCTCATAGCCAAAGGAAGCAGCGGGGGCGGGCGGCATGCCAGGCAGGAGCAGCATGAACATGAGCAGAGGGGACAAGAATGGACACACTGTATTAGCTGGCAGCCATGAGCCAGTGGAGGACAGAGCAACCAGGGGTAGAGGTAGGGGGACCGTAGGAAATGAGGGCTGGGAATGTTAAAATGTGGGGAGATCCTATGACCCTGATGCCCCAGGCATGTGGACTGAAGACGCTAGGAAGCAGTTTCTGATTTGGGTTAGGGAGTCACATGACCTGAAGGCCCTGGGAATGGTTAATCCCTGGGTGGGGGGCTCAAGCCCTGGGGATTTGGAAGGGAGGTCTTAGCTAAGAGTTAGGGTACGGCTAAGGTCCAGGTAAAGCTACGTCCACTGTAGCTAACCCTGTCTTTTTCTCCATCCTTCCCCAACCCTGAAGATTCTTCTACAACCTGTCACCTGCCAGGAGAGGAGCCAAGAGCGAGCAAAGAGGAGTCCGGGATCTCAACCCCCAATTCTCAGGCTACCAGCAGAAACCCCTCTATTAGAGCCATCCTCAAAAATGTATGTGGGGCAGGGCTTCTTACCCTCTGTCCCTCACCTCTTTTCTTTCTTTTTGCTCCCTCCCTCTCCCTTTCCTCTAGTTCCCTTTTTGACCCGAGACTTGTCACATTCCTGGATTCTTATATGTGCACACGTGCATGTGTATTTTCTTGGTTCTTTAATGCAAACCACCATGAAGACAGGGATCCAGAGAAGCCAGGTGTGTGGTGGGGCACACTCAATCCCAATGACTTTGGAGGCTAAAGCAGGAGGATCACAAGTTCAAGGCCACCCTCAGAAACTTAGCAAGACCCTGTCTAAAAATAAAGGATAAAAAGGGTTGGGGGATGTAGCTCAGTGGCAGAGTGTCCATGGGTTCAATCCCCAAAACCAACAAAAGAAAAAGCTGACTGAATCTTATTCCTTTTCTCTAGATCTCAGTCCTGGCCCTCTCTGTCTGCTTCAACTTCACGGTCACCATTGGGTTATTCCCTGCTGTGACTGCTGAGGTCAAATCCAGCATCGCAGGCACCAGCGCCTGGGGTAAGGACACTGCAGCTTCCCGACACATAGGGTCTCAGGCAGGACTGGGAATGAAGTTGAGCGAGCCTGGATTGCCTTCTACCCAGGCAGACCTTTCTGGGTCCATTTGTCCTTCCCTGCGCTGGAAGCATCTTTTCTTTCTGTATGGTTGGGGAAGGCGAGGGCCAGTGAGGGCCGGAGTTGCTTGTCTGTTTCTCTTCCCTTACTCCTCCCCCTCCTCTTCCAGGAGATTACTTCATTCCTGTGTCCTGTTTCTTGACTTTCAATATCTTTGACTGGTTGGGCCGGAGCCTCACAGCTGTTTTCATGTGGGTAAGTGGAGGAAGGGATATTGGTCCCCTGTGGGAAAAAGGAGTCCAGCCTGAGACCCAGAAAGGGGGCCTTTTTTTTTTAAAGATCCAGACATAATTTATATATAATTAAGTGTATAAGTCTTACGTGTACAACTTAACACGTGTGTGTGTGTGTGTGTGTGTGTGTGTGTGTGTGCACCTACCCAAATCAAGTTGTAGAACATCCCAGCACTCCACAGGGCGCTCCTGATCAATGGCCCCCTAAAGGTAACCAGGCTTAGCAGCCAGTCCAGTCCCCAGGGTCTCTAAATGGAACCCAGGGCTCAGCTTGGCTGAGGCACCGCCCTGTCCCTGCAGCCTGGGAAGGACAGCTGCTGGCTGCCGAGCCTGGTGGTTGCACGGCTGGTGTTTGTGCCGCTGCTACTGCTGTGTAACGTCCATCCCCGTCGCTACCTGGCTGTGGTCTTCAAGCATGACGCCTGGTACATCTTCTTCATGGCCKCCTTCGCCTTCTCCAACGGCTACCTCGCCAGCCTCTGCATGTGCTTCGGGCCCAAGTGAGTGGGGCCAGGCATTTGTCAGGGTCTAGAGCTCCAAGCGGGGACCCTCAGTAGAGAGAAAGAGGGCAAAAGGAGACTTTCTGGTGCTGAAGCTGATGGCCGCRGGGGAGGGGCTGAGGTGCCCGGGCTGCTTAGGTGGAGCTGTGGGAAGGACCTGTTGGGGCAGCATGGAAGACCCCCCCCCCAGTACACAGTCCCCAAAGAGGCAGAAACAGGTTGGGGTTAGGAAAGGACAGATTGGTCTCCCTACCCCAGATACTGGGGACTGTGGCTGGGGCCGGGGCTGGGCAGTCAGCCCTGGGTCGTCTTCCTTCCCTCCTTTAGGAAAGTCAAGCCGGCTGAGGCGGAGACCGCGGGAGCCATCATGAACTTCTTTTTGTGTYTGGGCCTGGCACTGGGGGCTGTCCTCTCCTTCCTGCTTCGGGCAATTGTGTGACCATGGATGAACAGAAGGACTACACTGCTGACCTGCCACCTGCCCCTTTTGCCAAGGATGAGCAGGGTAGTCTGAAGGTTTTCTCTTCTTTTAAAGCCAACTTCTGCTTTCTTATGCCCTGTGTGGGGCCTGGATGTCCAGGCCCTGGGGAGGGAGCCTCTGATGGACACTGAGAACAGTGGGCTTGAGGGTCAGACAGGAGGGGCGTGGCCTCTGACTGATCACTGACTGGTCCCTGCAAGGCAGGTGAGGCTCCTGGGCTCGGAGAGCGTGTATAAGTGTTTTGTTTCTATCTGCCTACACCAGGGGTGGCTGGGGGGCCAGGACTGACCGTTGTATGGTCTGATCTGATATTTCCCCTCCCTCCTTTCTCCCCACGTGCTTCCTCCCCTTTCTCCCTGTCCCTTTCCCCTGCCCTTCACCCATCCCTACCCATCATGCACACTATATTAGATGCTATTTTACTGCCTTTTTTTTTATACTCAACAGAAACCAGGTGCCTTCAGAGGCTCTCTGATTAAATTAAAAAAAAWTTTTTTTTTTTCCTCTCTGTGCCTCCCTGTGTCCTCAGGCGACAGCTTAAGGCCTCGGCATGGTAGAAGATAGGAAGTATGGGTCTGGAGGAATGAGCAGGACCCAGCTGTAGGCCTGAGGGGTTGGGCCTCAGAGGAGCTGTAGTGACCCCTGCTGGGCCCACAGGGGAGGGACAGGCCTCCAGCCAGGACACCCGAACTGTGGCCCAGACAGAAAAGCCAAGTTTTTTCTTTGTTGCTTCATTTCTCCTTTCACAAGGCTGGAGACAGAGACAGCTTCTTGTCTTTTCTTGGTCTTAACTGCTACCCACCCCCCAACTCTGTCCTCAGTCCCGGCAATGAACTCTGAAAAACTGGCCAGCTCCACCCCCAGCTCTTGGCGGCACTCCTACATCACTGGGCAGGAAGAGGCTGAGGCCTGAGGGTTCTCCCCTGCCTGGCACCCAGCCCTGACACCAAAAGCTCGGCCTGCCAGACTTCCTGGGGAACAAGGAGCCTATGTGTCCCTCATATTGAAGCTGGACTTCTTCCTTCTCAGCCCAGACTCTAGCCTATGGAGGGGTGGTTTGGAATGGGACTGTGAGAGTCTCAGTGAAGGGGTCCTCACTACTGAGACCCCTGCCCAAGAATAACTGCCTGGCTACAGGGAAGTGCAGTCCTCTAGTCATGGTGACCCTCCAGCCCCAGCACTTGGGTATAAGTCTCAGAAAGGCAGGAGGTTTTGCTGCCCTGCCTGGGCTGTCTGTTCACTGATCTCTGACCAGCACATTGCTACTGAGTTGGCACCTCTGGCAGAATTTCCTCGCTTATGGGAGTTTTTTTTAATTGAAGGCTTCAGGCCTCAATAAATTCTATTAGCTTATTTTTCACTCTTCCATGAGCTCAAGCCCTAATGGGGTTGTTCAGTATACCATCTTAGTGGGAACTGAAGTCCAGGTGCTAATTTGTCAAACTAGAGTATGTATCTGAGGTGAAGGTAGACAAGGTCTTCCTTCCAATCTGGTTCAAGCTGCCGGATGCTTAGGATTCTTCCTCCTGATGTGATGCAAACTGAAGCTACAGACCTGAGATCTTTCTCCTCTGCTTGCCCTCAGGCCTCCCTGCTTTCCCCATTGTACCSAAACCCCATATCCCTATTGGATCCCTATTGGATCTTCCTTAAGGCCARCCCCTCCCCCCACCACCTGTATTTCTTCCAGAGGACCCTTTACCACTTCCCTATCTGGCCTTTTGGGACCAAGTCCCAGGTCTTCTCTGATCCATTCCAAATGTGGCCACAAGAATAATCTAAGGCCAGGCATGGTGGTGCATACCTGTAATCCAAGCACTGGGGTGGTTGAGCAGGAAGATCACAAGTTCAAGGCCAGCCTTGGCAATTTAATGAGACCCTGTCTCAAAATTTAAAAAGGTAGTTCAGAGTTACAGTGTTCCTGGGTTCCATTCCTGGTACTAACCAAAAAAAAAAAAAAAAAGGAGAAGAAAGAAAAAAGAATCTGAAAACCAATTTAGGGGTGTGTTCATTCCTTGCTCTGGAGCATGTACCTATCTCACTATTATGTTTTTATCTTTTTTCCTCCCTGCTACTGGGGATTGAACACAAGCCTTGTGTTTGCTGGACAAGTGCTCTTATCACTGAGCTACATCTCTAGTCTTTATTTTGAGCAGGGTCTTACTGAGTTCCCCAGGCTGACCTTAAATTTGGATTCTTCCTGCCTCAGCCTCCCACATAGCTGGGATTTTAGGCACATACCATAGTGGCTTATGTACTTTTCTTTGTCCAGCTACAAGACCACCATGTTTTTGAAGTTAGGTCTGTTTGACTCATGTTTTGGCTTTTCAATTTCAAAATGCTGTGCCTAGTTCCCAGAGGTACTTGGGAAATTTTGCTGCACTGCATCTGCTTGTGTCCCTGTGATATCTGTTGTTCCATCATCTCCACATGCCTGACTCCAGCTATGTGGTGGTGCTCATCATCCATGCCCTGGCATGTTATGTAGGTTCCTCCCAATCCCAGCAATGGTTCAAATAAAGAAAAGGCTACACCCATTTTCTGTACTTAAACTGATGTTAAAGGAAATTACTGGAATATCTTTTCTGAAAARAAAATCTTAATGTAAATGCCAAAACTGGCAACTAGGTGCAGTGTCAGATTCTGACCACAAGTGGGCACTCTGCAAGCAACACTACACTGGGGGAGCCTGGTAGTAGGAGGCCGGGTGTTCTTGGCTCTCACCACTTTCCTCTCTGTTTCCAAGAGGAAGGGAGGGCAGAGCTGGAAAATCTGCCAGGTATCCCTTCCTGCCATGACTTGATACTGCCCATCACCTGACATTTCTGCTCCAAATGGTCTGTCATCCTTCCTAGGGGCTGCCACTGCTACACAGAAGTGTCTCTTTTTAGTCTTATGGTGAAATGTTGAGGCCTTGAACACTCTTGAAAAACTGAGCTCTAGTAAAAATCAGCATCCATTTTGAAAATAGAAATGAAGCCTGAGGTCTAACCAACAATTTGGAATATAGGTTTATTTTTTGAGGAGAATGTGGAAAGAGCATGGTGTAGGTGAGTATGAGGAGTGGAATGATAGGGGACTCCTAATTCTTGGGAAAACAAAACCCAAATTGTTCTCAGGGTTAAACTATAATAGTAGGGCTGGGGATGTGGCTCAGCGGTAGCGCGCTCGCCTGGCATGCGTGCGGCCCGGGTTCGATCCTCAGCACCACATACCAACAAAGATGTTGTGTCCGCTGAGAACTAAAAAATAAATATTAAAAATTCTCTCTCTCACTCTCTCTCCTCTCTCACTCTCTCTTTAAAAAAAATAAAATAAACTATAATAGTAATTCAAAATGAACCTGAGCAGAGAAATGCAGAGTCACTTTTAAAGAGACAGTACTGCTGTCTGGCCTGTTGGCCCCGCCTGAAACCTGAGTCCACATACAGGAAGAGTGGCTGTCTTTTGGAGGGGCCAGCCAGCAGATTTGATAGAGACCAGATTGGCAGTGTCCATGAAGCCCCTAGGGGGTTGTCTGGTTCCTGAGATGCATTGGCACTGAGCATAGAGATGGGCAGAGTTCCAACCCAATCCATCAGTGGCCTTGTGTCCTGGCTGGTTCCTGCAGCCTGTGCACATGAACTGGCCTTTGCCTGGTGCTCTCAGGCCTGGCTGTGCCCACTCAACCCTCTCTAGCCTTGGCTGTGTTGTGCTCCCTGCAAAGGGACAAGTTGGCGTTCCAGCTCCATGCTGCTGTGAGTGCTAAGTGGGTGAGTGGGTCAGTGTGGCCCATGAAGGCCTCTGCCCAAGAAGCTGCCCTCTCCTAGGCCTTTTGCTAAACAAGAGGGCCATAGTGTTTGGATTCAGAGCCTGGGATTCTGTTCTGGGCCTGCCACGCATTCTCTGTGGCTCTGGCTCCTTTCCTTAAAAGGGGAGGTCGGTATATGTATGGACTTGTTAAGGAAACAGAATCTAGATATAGGAGATGAGGTCCCCAGAGACACAAGGTGCCATGGTCCCTAGGATAAGCCTAAGCATGGCGGGGTCTCTTGTCTAGGCCACTCTGCGCTTCCCCCGTGCCATTCATTACCCTCTTCCACTCTTCCAGGACCTTGGAGCTTGAGAATCAAGCCGTTCTTCCCTAGCCTAGCCATTTCCAGCGTGAACTACCGCCTGAGGGCCTGCTTGCCTCGGATCAGCTGGGAAACCTCACTGCACGTTCGGGGCCTGAAGCAGGGTGGGGGTGGGAACAGCCCGACCAACGCCCCGCCCCTCGGGGAGGGGTGCAGGGTGACGTCACCCAGCGCGCAAGTGACTGGAGGGCAGCCCACGCGCTCCTGCTCATCTGGGCTGTTGAACCTGACCCTTTCCGTCTCGTAGCCCCTCCTGTGTAAAGCAGGAATAGTGACACTTGCCCTGCCTGCGGGCGTGGGATTGTGAGAGTCCGCTCAGATCTGAGTCGCAGCGTCGCTTTCACCACGGCTCTGTACTCTGGCGCATTGTTTCATCTGCTTCCCCAATAGCCCTATAAAGTGCTGACTAGTGCTATGCCCATTTCACTCTGGAAAACCAAGTTTGAAAGGTTGAAGGATGAAAAAAAAAAACAAAAACCTGTAAACTGAATCAATCTGTCTCCTTGCACTCCCCATCCCCCAATGAATTACCAGGCAGCAAAGGAGACAAAAAGACACAAGGGATCCTTCACATGGCACCATACTGCAGGTGTGGTCTGCTACCTCCCATCTCTGAAACATCCCAGAGAGTCCCAAGTTCACATTCCCAGGAGTCCCAAGCCTCCGGGATACTGAACTTTCATGGCAGCCTTCCAGATGATACCAACAAATGATGTCTAACCTCACCCCCACACCCAGATTTCCTCATCACCCAGCAGCACTGTCACAGCCCTACTTGTCCCTTATCTGGGTGGAAGTGAACCAGTCAGGCACGGGTCCAGTGAATAGTTGAGAAATACAGTTAGTTGAGACCTGCATATTGAAAAGGTGTGCCAGCTGCCTGAGACAGGACAGGTGACAGGTAGAACATTAAGTAGGTCAGGATTGTTTGTGGGGCCACCTGCCTTTGTGCCTTCCCCTGAGGCAATCTGAGACAAACAGATTGGGGTAATGTTTTACCTTCTTACTCAAATGAGGTCCTGGAACACTGAACAAAGCCCAAGACAAACCTTGGGCTGGCTGGCAATGGCAGGCAGGCAGGCAAGACTTAGTCACAACCCTTGGGCCCTTGAAAAGGTGAGACACAGTCACATGTGTATTAATAGAGCAGATTACCAAAGATGCCTGGTTTGTAATTCAAGAATGGCTCCGCATTGCCCTAAGTGATTTTGTTCTTGTCCTTGACATTAGCCATCAGCTTGATGGTGTCTAGCCCTACCAGTCCAGCCCAGGCCTCTCCATGTGTCCCTCTGCCTGCAGACCTCTCTCTTTGGTGTCCCACAACCTGTCTAAAACAGGCATCCTCACTTCTCCAATCCAGAGGTGTGCTCCCCGCCCCAGCCCCACATTCTATCCCTCTTCCTCTCCTCCTCCCACCTCTGCCTCCTCTCGCTGTCTTCAGCCGCTCCTCCAAGATTTGTTCTGTGCAAACTTCAGACATTTTTTTGTGTTGGTTATCTTGAACAACACAGTGCATTTGATTTAATACATTGAACCCAACAACAAGATAGTATCTATTTTTTCTCAAGGATTTATAAGTACTAACCATATTCAAGGTAACAAATCAAGTCTCAAAACAAAAAAGCCAGTATAACATTCATACACATTGTCTACTACATAAAGGATAATGTAAAAAWTTGAAAATTTAAAACACTTCTACATTGATTAAAGAAGATACCAGAAAATCTTTAAAACTGAATCATAATAAATACTATGCAATATATTGAATTTTGTGGGGTGTGGCTAATATAATTCTTGAGAAATGTGTACCCTTAAATCCTTATATTAGAAAGGAGGAAAGGCTAAATTTAAATGCACTAAGTATTAAAGTTGGAAAATAGAGAACAATGGAACTGACCCAAAATAAGTAGGAGCAGAGAACTGTGGTACGGCTCAGTGGCAGAAGGTTTGCCTAGCAGGCATTAGGCCCTGTGTTTGATACCCAGCACCAACCAAAAAAACAAAAACAAAAAACTTTCAAGAAACATCCAGGGGCTGGGGATGTGGCTCCAGCGGTAGCGCGCTCGCCTAGCGTGCGAGTGGTCCGGGTTCGATCCTCAGCACCACATACCAACAAAGATGTTGTGTCCACCGAAAACTAAAAAATAAATATTAAAAAAATATTCTCTCAAGATCTCTCTCTCTCTCTCTCTCTCTCTCTCTCCTAAAAAAAAAAAAAAAAAAAAAAAAAAAGAAACATCCAAACCAGGCCAGGCATGGTAGTGCACACCTATAATCCCAGTGGCTCAGGAGGCTGAGGCAGGAAGAGCACGAGTTCAAAGCCAGTTCAGTAAAAAGTGAGGTGCTAAGCAACTCAGTGAGACCTGTCTCTAAATAAAATACAAAAGTTGGCTGGGGATGTGGTCAAGTGCACATGAGTTCAATCCTGGTACCTACCTCCACACACAAAAAAAGAAACATCCAAACCAGGTGTGTGATGACGCACATTCACAGTCCCAGCTATTCAGGAAGCTAAGCCTGAGAATGAATTCAAGACCAGCTTGGACAAGAGTGGTGAGATCCTGTCTTGAAAAAAAAAAAGTAATATCTAGAAAAATTATTATATAGGGCTGGGGATGTGGCTTAAGCGGTAGCGCACTCGCCTGGCATGCGAAGGGCACTGGGTTCGATCCTCAGCACCACATAAAAATAAAATAAAGATACTGTGTCCACCGAAAA